ATGTCTTTACTCTCTACTCTGTTACTCTCAGTGTTCTTTGCTCTCTCTGTCTTCTTCTATATCATTAATTTATTCCCAGGAAAATAAATGAGAAACCTAATGCACACTAGGTATTTCAGTGTATAAATCCCTAATATGGCTTAATATATCACCCTTCCTGGTTTCATTTAAATGACAGATGAGCAGCTCAGTGATAAAGGAGTAAATCTGTGTGAGAAGCCAGTATTTGGAGAAGGATGGGGAATGAAAAGTGAAGGTCTTCTCAGGACCTCTGAAATCACACCATGGACCATATACCATTTGTAAGGCCAGATACATTCCAGTATAACTATCTACTCTTAACTGCTTCTCATCCATGTAGAGTTTCTTAGACAGGAAGGATAGTCTCTGACACTCAAGCGAAGAAAGCAAATGCTCTACCAAAGTATTTGGCAGTCTACTGAGCACACATTTTTTATATGGCTTTGGGCTCAGAGAGCACATAATTTATGGCCATAATACCTGGAAACACCGAATGCATTCATCAATAGCACTGCAGCTGCATTATTTATGCACACATCTAAATCATTCCTAACACACCAAGCAGACACATACAGGTGTTAAGCAATGACTAGGATTTTTATAGAGAGTTTGGGATTAAAAGAATAAAGAAATTTTAGAATAGCTTTCTCCAAAGGCTATTGCCCAAACCATCTGGTTATTCTGTCCATAAATCTTGAACTAACTAACTAAACCAACCAACCAAACAAACAACAAACAAAATCCCAAAGAAACTCTAGTTCTTAAATGAGATGCGCAGGTGACCAGCACACTGCAGTTTTGGTTACACAGTTCTTCACCTCTCATGCAGAGAGTTTCCCCTTGGGCAACTTTAGATGCAAAGAGAGACTGGGTGCGTGATATTCACTTAATTATAGATGACTCTCATTTTATCACAGTATACATGCATTTTGGCACTACTGACACCACCAACATTTAATGAAATCATTTGGGATTTTCTCCCCCAATCACAACATGGGTGGCTGGCTCAGGGGAATCCACAGCGAGAATGTTTCCTGCATCTGGCTGAGAATACACAGTGAAATACTTTGAAATTACAAGACCCACTAGACATGCATCACTCTGAAGAGTATGCACACTCTTGACTCAGGCAAACTCAAGGGCCAGATTATTTGAGGTCAGTAGAAATGCTGAGATTTAAGCAGCCCACTGAAAGGAATGAGACAGGACCATACCCACGAACCCACTGCCACAGTGGAAGGAAATGATAGAGCACACAAAGATGGGAAACATGGACTCTGAAGAAAATTGGAACAACTATTGCTCTAATAGTGTCTGTGGAATCTCACCGTTTTGAATAGACTGGGTCTCTGTCCATCTGTGGAATAGATGGGACTTACTGCTGAATTCATTCTAATGCATTTTACTGGTTTGTTATTTTGGAATGAAGTAACACCTAGAACTTAACAATGCTCAGCCATCCTTTCTTTATGCTTTCTTGAGCAGGCCATGAAAATTTTACTTGGTCCTAATTCAAACATCCAGTTGGAGAGAGATGACCAACTGGGGCCAAAGAAGGGGTTAAGGAAAATAAAATGACTCAGCTGACAGATTTGATAATAGAAGATAGGAAAAAAAGTAACGTAATATCGCAGGTAAATGGATTTAGAAATTTCACCCTGTGGTAAACAGAGAGAGGCTGCTGTCATTCACAAAGCCAGAAGTCCAGTGAAAGAAATTCAATTTGCCTGGCTCTAACCCAAGGTCAGGTTAAGAATACCTGGCTTGAGGCAAACAGCCCCCTCGCAATGGCAGAAATGAGGGTAGACAAATATAAAGTCACTGTTGGCATCATCCTTTACATACGTGCCCTTCTACCTCTAAAACCAACTTCTGCAACTTAAGAGAATGATATGGCCACTGAGTTTTGAGCATATCTGGTAATCTTTTCAGAAAAGCATGTGAATTTGTAAGACAGGCACCCAGTGCTGCCTCCCTGCAACCAGATACCATGTTTTCAAAAGTAGATCTAGTGGGAATTTTCTAGGTATGATTTCCATGGAGGGAGGGAGGGGACAGTGAGAGGGTGGGTGCCCAGGTACTAGAAAGAAGAGTCCCAGTGACTGAGATGGTTGTTAAACATCAGAGGGGGCTGCTGGGAGAGTCCTTAGGACTGAGCTTCCTGAAACCTCTCAGCCACACCAGAAATGATAGGTTAACTTGACCTCCATTCTGCTTTAAGCCCTCTTGAGTATCTTCCCTATCCTAGATACTGGCAGGTAAAATATGGTGCCACCAGCTTGACTTTGCATGGAATGCTGGTGATCTACAGTATATCTACCTAGAAGTTAGGAGCTGAACCTGGGGTTTGCTTAGAGCCAAACTGGACCCTGTGCTAAGTAAGCCCAGGCCGACGGGCATGAACACTTCTCACAGACCAATAAGACCGGAGAGGTGGGGAAACATGGACACAAATGACTCTCCCTGGCTTTCTCACCACAGTGGCCTCCACTCGCATTCACTTTTTTCCAGACACCCTGAAGCAAAAGCCATACAAACAATCTCCCCAGTGGAAAATGAAAACCCGTAACAGAACACTTTCCCCCCTTCATTCCCAGCCCCACCCCACCCCCTCCAGCCCAACACCCTGAATACTCACAAGAGAACACTTTATCTATACAAAATTAATTAGAAAACAAAATATTTACATATGAAATAAACACCATCTTGATTTCTGTCACCAGTGGAGACCAACAGAGCCCCCTTTGTTCTAGATTGCTGTTCGCTAGGTTAGTTGGTTTGGTTTTTTATTTGAACGGGGTGAGGTAAGAGGAAGAGTGAGGGAGGAGCCCCTGACCTTGGACAGAGTCAGGGTGAAGCAATGTTTATATGGCCCTTCTCCTTCTTCCTCCTGGAGACGTCTCACACCCTCTGTCCTCTCTCTCAAAGTCTTTCCTTGAATCTAAAGTAAAGCACTCCGTGCTCCTCTCTCCAAATTTGTGAGAGGTTCAGCCCCTTGCCCCCAGGTTCATTTTAGAAAGAAAACAAAGCTTTACAAGGCCTTCAGTTGGCTTTAAAATGAAAGATACTGAGGTAAAAAATCAAGGAGGAGGGTGGGGATAGCAGTCAAGGGTGGGGAATGAGGAAGGGTGGTGAGTCAGGGCAAACAGAAGGCAAAGAGCAGCCCTGGAGGGTGTGACTTGAAGAGACATGGCAGCTTCCTTCCAGAGGAGGATGAGCACCTTTCTGGTTTGTGTGTCCTGTGTGCAACATGGAGGTCCTGCAGTCAAGGTTCCAAACAGACCCGGGCTCTGTGGCTGCCACCTGTGTAAGGGGAAGGTGGCAGGACAGCGGAACCGACCCAGAGTTTCAGGACCGGCAGTGACAAATATTCAGTTCCCTTCTCAAGTTTCCGACTTTCAGTGAAAGGGGCATCACATCTGCCAGTACCCTCATTCTTGGAATTTTTCTACATGTATATATTTTATTCTTGCATGGTATACTCTGGGAGAGAAAGGAGGTGTTGCAAGAAGGTGGAAGGGCTTCTACCGAGAGTGTTCACATTGGGCTCAATGTCACATTCTCAGGGAGCCAGACCCAATGGCTAGTAGGGGTGTACCCCTCTCCTCCCCACTTCCAAATCTCTTCCCTTCCCTCCATGCCTCCTGAGCTATACTCATGAGCGAGCTCATACCTCTTACCTATTACCTACCAGTTGTGATCGATTCTGAGGGAACAAGCCTGCTCTCCTAGCTCCAGGTTAAGTAAGAAGGGATCAAAGCATTGAAAACATCCCCCTCTCTCACTTACCCTACCACAAACTACTCCCCTATTTTCCAAAGCCTTACTTAGCTCCTCCCCAAGCCCTGACCAGCTGAGGGTCTAAAGCTCAAGAGAGCTTTATAGACTCTTTTGCTCTCTAGAGGATCATGGCTACTTCTACTTCCCTTTAGCCTTCCTGGAAAGTTCTTGGCCAAAACCAGTTGAAAGTATTGGCAGCGGGAGAAATCACTTTTGTACCTTGCTCTTGTAGGATTGTTTACCACCTTTTTGTCTAGACCACAGAATCTTCTCTGACAAGAACTTCCATTCTCTTCATTCAGGAAGGGTGAAGGGATGAGACAGCCAACATTCAGGTAACATATGACCATCTCTGTTTGTATATAAGCCAAAACAAGCACACTGCTGAGAAATATTGAAAGAAACATGAGGCTTGGTTGCCTTCTCTACATTTATAGGCCCCTGACTCTGTGTGTGTACACATCACATATGTGCAAGTGTATTTGCACACACATGCACACACAGTCAGTCCACCCTCTCTTGCCTCTAAGGCACCATGAAAGATTGCTATGATGTACTTTCCATCATCCACCAATGACCTTTGTTCACCACTAATGAGTCTCATGGAATTGAAGCAAACATTTTGGCTTATATACCAACACACATGGCCTCCCCGCCTCTGGCACATGATCCCTAAACAGATGCCATCAAAGCCACAAGAATTTAGCAAAAGCCTCTCTTCATTCACAGGCAAGTATGCTAAATGGTCTTATTTGAATGCTTTTGCTGCCTCATCTAAACATAAAGATCAGTTTGGGAAGAGCTATCCTGCGCTCCCATGACCTCCTTTTGCTTCTCCTTGCTTCACTTGAAGTGGGTGACAGAGTCCTTCCATGCTAGGAGGAAGCTCACAAGCAGCCACTTCCTTTCTCCACTTTGGCCTCCCTTGCTGAGCAAACCCGCTGCATCCTCTCTTGGGAACGGGAATGACTGACAGGTGGGGAAAGTAGGAGCGAACTGGAAAGGGAGGTGAGATGGTGCTGGTCACCAGGGTTGCCCTCCGAAAAATCAGAACTCCAGGATCCCATAAATAAATTAAAACAACAAGAAAGGAGCAAATGGGAACCAAGTTCACCCCCGTCACCCTCCGTGACATGCCCACCACCGCAGGCCCACAGCCCAACCCTCCCATACCCACCTTAACCTCTCTCTTCCCTCACTCAGACATCAGACTCAATACTAGAAAGTTTCTCATAAACATGACCATTGCTGGAGCCATTGAAAGCCCTGGGGTTTTTGTTGTTAGGCACACAGGGGTTGGACTGGTTCCCTATACAGATGTCTTTCTGGAAACGGCCTGGCACAGCCCCATGAAGGGCCGAGACCACTGGCTTGGTGGTGACAAGGGCGCGGAAGTCCGGCCTGGCTTTTGGCGCCCCTGGCACCGAGGGCTGCCTGAAGAAGTAGGATTTGCTGCCATGGAGCAAGCACTGGTCGTCCCCAAAAGTGGGGATGAAAGGGTTTTGCGTGACCCGGTCAGGGTAGAGCGACTTGCTGAGCATGTAGCCGCCGCCGGGGTTGTTGTGGTGGTGTCCGGCAGTGGGCACTGAGGACTTGTTGTTGGCAAAGGTGCTCTCGCCAGCTGGCATCTCAAACATGTGGGCGTAGGGACTCCCATCCACGAACCGGCCCTTGTCTTTCAGGCTCACACTGCGCGGGGCCAAGGCGGCTTCTTCCTTCTGCAGATCCACGAAGGTGTCGTAGGAGTGCTGCCGGCGGAGCTTGTTCCGGTTCTTCTTCTGGGCCTTGGAGTTGGTGGGGCTCTGGGGGTACTTGGTGGTGGAGGCGTTGGACGTCACGGCCACCGGGGCCGCCGGCTGGTCCAGCTCCTGCAGGGAGTTGTCCTCGCTGATGTCATACAGGTTGCCCGCTTTCTTGCAAGCCTCGCAGCGGATGCACGCCTGCCGCCCCGAGTTCTGCCCTCCCACCGACGAGGAGTAGTTGTGCAGCTTCGAGGGGCAGCTGCGGCAGAAGTTGCCCCCGGAGCGGTCCTCCCACTCCACGTTGGTCAGGTTCTTCTCCCAAGGCGCCGGGACCCCGCCGACCACGCCGTGTTTGTCCCCGGCCCCGTGTTTGAGGTGAGACCTGTTGGTACAGGGCCCGCCTCCGCTGACCGAGTCGCTCCGCTCCTTGTAGATGTCGGTCAGGTCCACGTGCTCCCAGTGGGGCGAGTTCTCCTTGGTGCGGAACTGGTCCAGGTAGAAGTCCCGTAGCCCTTCCTTGTCCCTGAAGTAGCGCTTGTGGTCCGGGGAGCGGGGCGGCCGGCGGCGGTAGGCCAGCTCGATCTCGTCGAACTCCCGGCGGGACTTGGCCGAGGCCGGCCGCTTCTTCAGGCTGTCCTTGTACTGCTGCTTGCGCCTCTTGGCCGCGTTGCCCTCGATGTTGCCATAGGTGACGGTGTGGGTGGAGATGTCAGACACGTCGGAGCGGATCAGGTCGTCGTGGCCACCGTAGCGGTCACCCTTGAAGGAGAACTTGCCGTACAGGTCACTGAGCTGGCTGTGCTTGGAGGAGGGGAGGCCGATGTCCAGGGGCTTCTTGCTGATGGAGCGCGGCTGGGCGGTGAAGGGCGGGTTGTCACAGTCGTAGAGCCCGTCGATGGAGCTGGTGCTGCCGATGCTGTGGGGCCGGTGGTGGTGGTGATAGTGGTCTTGGTACACGTTGCTGTCCTTCAGCTGCAGGTTGCCGAAAGTCCTCTCCACCTCGCTGATGTAGTCGCTGAAGAGGTTCTCCTCGCAGGGCGGGTTGTTGTAGGACTTGCAGTCGGAATGCGTGAAGCTGCGGCGGTGCTCCGAGATGTCGTAGACGGAGGACTCGCGGCGGATGAAGTCCAGGGCGCTCTGCGGTGAGCCGTTCACCCCGGACAGGTTGGCCATGTTCTTGGCCGTGCGAAGCAGGCGCAGGATGTTGGAGTGGGTGTTATTCATGGTCGCGGTCGGGGAATTCATCACGGATTGACGCTCCTCGATAGCCACTCCATGGATGCAGCTGTAGATACCCTGCAGAACAGTCAGGATGGGAAGGATTAGGTCTCCAGGGAGGCTAAAACATGACTGTAAAGAATCCTCCCGCCCCCACTACTAATTGCCTAATGATAAGAAAAGTCAGGGAAAATATGAAACGGATAGCCTTATATACTCGTAAAAAGATGTGGCTAGCTAGAAGCTTGCACGATTTATCTCCCTGCATTTAGAAGTAGCATATTAGGAGCTAAGCTTGTGACCTAGCTGGCTGAGAGGGTGCACGATTACAACAAGTGACTTGAGCAAATAGGATAAAATCACAAGACATTCTTGCCCTGACTCCCTCAGTGACTTGCACTGATGTTCCATTTTATGCCCAGGGTTCACATCTTAAAGCTGATGCATGGTATTGGTCAATAGCAGAAAATATTGTCAGCCTTCTGGAAATCAGTAGCAACGCTCCACAGATGTTGAGCCTGCTCTGCCCTGGCTGGCCAAACTGGCTGGCAGGAAAGCACAGGGGAGCTCGGTAGCTCACAATTGCCTTTCTTTTCCAGCTCTGACAAATTTTGAGCAGCTTTTAGAATTTTGATCACCAAATAACAGCTAAGCAGTTCTCTTCTTGAGCCAAGCATGAACTAAATTCAAAGAGAGAATTAGGCAGCCCTTGGGTCAAAGACAGATTTTTCTCCTGCTGCGTCCCACACCGTGGGAGGGAAGAATTGGGACAGAGATCTACTACTAAATAGGAATAAATAATTTCCTTGTTGAATTCTTTTATTTGTTCTCTCTTTAGCTCCTGCTTTTCTTCTTATATTTTTTCATTCAATCTTATAAATAATTAATTAATATCTCAGCAAATTAGTATTGATTGAGAACTCCCTGTATGCAGGACCTTAAACACCACTACCCAGGAGAAGGAATGGGTTGGGTTCAAGTCTAAAAGTCAGGCCAACTTCCTGCTAATATCTTGCTCCCTGCCTTGAAAGGTGGACAAATTTGGAACTTTTCTCCCTGGCAAGGTAATGTATTTGAAGAGGAGGTTGTTTGAATTGTGTCTTTAAAAGAAGGGGGATAATTTGAAAAGGGAAGTTGTCCCAATGGATGGAGATGGGAGGAGAGGAGGTTAGGAAGGAGGATGATAACTAAATGGCAAAGAAGAAAGGTTTAGATGAGCTGAGCCTCACTGTCCCAGAGGACACAGCAACATAGATCAAGGTAAGGTTACTCTACTTTCTTTGTCAGGTCTCCTTCTAACCATTTTTAATCATGTCCAGGAGAAAATGCCAAGCATTTTTCCTGGACAGAGGCATTGATTATGTAGAAGGACTATGAATGGGGTTTCTATTCCAGGTCACCAGCTCTGATTGTTTCTGCCATCACCCTATCTAGGACCTTAGGGAAGGGCCACACAAGGAATCAACATGACTCATGGGCCACAAGTTCTGTCATCCTGGTCCAATGTTACTGAATAGCCTGAATCAACTAATAGCCGAGAGGAAATTGTTCTCTATCAGTGAAATACTACAGGAAAACGATCAAAAGATGGAACAATTTAATGAGAAGTCCACTTTCCTTCTCATTTTTTCTTACTCTTCCTTGTGACATGTTCATATTAAAAATGTTATAAATCCTTAGTTTGGACTAGAAACATAGAAGTTTAAATAAAGAGCAACTTCAGAGTTATACTTTGCTCCAATTAAGGACATTTCTGGAATGTAAATTTCTTATGGGTCAGGACTTATTTCTGAAGGTTCTGTTAAGTTCTTTAACTCCCCATAACTCACACATGGTTAAAACACAGAGGGGAACAATAAAACAATAATATACGTTTGTATGTTAGAATAAGAGAGACATATTACATTTCTCTATCTGAATAGGAATATCATTTTTTTAAAAGGATTAAATTATTATGGCAGCCTATACAGAATTAACTAATGGTGATGAAAGGCATTTGGTAAAAGGCCAACTTTTTTATTCTGATAGATCTGCCAGTTCTCATTGAAAACCAAATGTCCAAACCCTACACAGAAAGCTGTTTCTTGAAGGAAAAAAAAGTAGCAGCACCTGTTTTTTTTTTCTTTTTTAAAAAAATATATTTATTGATTTCAGAAAGAAAGGGAGGAGGAAAGAGAGAGAGAGAGAGAGAGGGAGAGAGAGAGAGAGAGAGAGAGAGAGAGAGAGAGAGAGAGAGAGAGAGAGACATCCATGATGAGAGAGAATCATTGATCAGCTGCCTCCTGCACGCCCCCACTGGGGATCAAGCCCGCAACCCAGGCATGTGCCCTTGGCACCCTGGGACCCTTCAGTCCTCAGGCTGATGCTCTATCCACTGAGCCAAGCCGGCTAGGGCAGCACCTGTTTTTTAAGCCCCCAGAAATTATGTCATGCAACCCCACTGGGGAAACATACATGATGTGGTTTCTTGCTTCAACAGCACAGGCTGGAGTCAGTGCCCTCCTGGGTCTCTCAGTTTTGCACAATGCTAGACTAAGCTGTCTTTTATAGGCTCCAGGCACCTAAATCAGCCCACTTACTCTACTGATGGAGAAGACCATGCCAGGCTTGCCGGAACAGACACCCATAAAGCAGTGCCGGAACTGCCAATAGAAAAGGTGTTCACAGATGAAGGTGATAAGGCTGAGAGCCATGGCTGCTCCCAACATGTAGAAGACTCCTGCCATGTTATCAATGTCCAACTGGCTGCTCATGACCTCGTTCTTCTCATTGTGGCAAATGCCAGTGAGCCAGAGAGCTTCCAGCTCCTCCATCTCCCCTGGAAACAGGGCAGGAAGAATAGGTAAAGAGAAAAGAGCAGAAGAGTAAAAACAAGGAAGAAAGAGGGGTGTTGGGGAAGAGAGAGAGAAAAACATGAGAGAGAAAGAGACAGGGAGACATAAAAAAAATTAATAGTTAACAGTAATTTTATTAATACTATTATATTCAATAAATATTCATTGTATTCAACGAAAACTTAATAAAGGTACCATAGAAAATACAAAGATATGAGACATTAACTGCTCTCCATTATCTATCCAGTGTAAATTAGTATATACATAATCAATATGATAAACTATATGCAAGTAACAAGAGTTCAAATTAGTGCAAGTAATTTTGTGGGTGAGTGGCCAGTAGGTGTTCATGAGAGAGATAAGACTTGAAGGTGGGCATGGTGAGTGGGTGTATTTTAATGTATATTGTATGAAAATGCACTCCAGGCAGCAAAAATAGCAGGATCAATGGAAGGAAGGTGGAAAATTGAAGGCTTGTTTAGGGAAAGGCATGCGGAACAGTTCAAACAGAGTACAAGTAGGCAAAGAAAGCTGAATAAAAAAGGTTGGTGCAGGACTGCTGAGGGCTTGTGCATCAGACTAAGCATTTGGCACTTTATTTTGTAGACAGTGAGGAATAACATCATCAAACAAGTGATTCAGAAAATTGCTCTTAAACAAATGTGCAAAGCAATTTCGTTAAGAGAGGAAAGACAGAGATTAGCAGAGAGATTGACTGATTCCCTAGGGACCCTCAGACTTACTGGTCTTTTGTTGCCAAGGAAAATACAAACATTAAGAGTAAAGGGAAGTGAGCTTGAATAAAATGAGACCACCAAATTCAGACCTGCCTCCTTTTAACACTGCTTAAAGGAGCTTTGATGGACTCAATTCATGTCAGGTTTCAATAATCTTTATCCATTTCACTACATACTAGGACTCAGAAATGTAGAGAACCTAAACAAAAGGGAAATGAAAGAAACCACGTGCCCTGGAATGCATCTAATTCTAGATGAGCAACATTCTGAAAATCTCATGAAGAGAATTGCCTGTTCCAATAGTTCTGGTTTGGCTAAAAATCTGAACTTTGTGCAATCTGACTAGAGCTTTGGTCACTTTTTCAAATCAGATTTATTGCTGTTCTTCCTCAGAGGTAGATCTCTGTTATTACTAAAATCATAGAAGCTCTCACACCAAAATGTCCAGTTAACAGCCCAGCTGTAATCCCTCCTCTTTCCAACATCAATCAAATCATCTTATATTCATTTCTTTGACCAAACTGTGATTCTCCTAACTAGTGGAGCAACCACTTCACCTGAGTCTGAAAATCCAGCTGTGCTCTTCTGCCTCTTATCTCATCCCTAACAGCAACGATTCTGCAGACATAATTTAGAGAACTGCTTTGCTGATGGCCCATGGGGCCAAGTAGAGTCAAGTTGCTCAACCGTAACTGGATTAGCTTCTCTGAGACCAATAGGAGGAGGAGGTACTTTGGACAATACAGTGAAAAGGGATGCAGAAAACATGCTATAATGAAATAGGAGATGCAATTTTTTTCAAAGCAAGTTGGCTGCTCAGTCTGCTGCCGGAATGGCACTGGGGAATACCTTATGGTGTCTGCCTCCTACCTCTTCCAGCTGAAAGAACATGATGGGAGAAAGGGAAGAATGAGTAGATGGACACAAGTTGATTTCTCTACCCTTTCTCTGGATACACACAGAGCAGAGACCTTCCAAAGTTCTATCTACTTCGTCCACATGTGAGATAATTGTTTGGGACATCTTATATCAGCCTCTCTTACTCCCTGGAGGTTTGATCATAGCCTGCAATTCCGAAACATACCTCCTTGATCAACTACTTTAATCTTATGTCCTGTCTTTCACTCTGTCATAGTTTGAATTGTGTCTCCTGAATTCACACGTTGAAGATCTAACCCTAGTACCTTGGGATGTGAACTTCATTTGGAAACAGGGTCATTGCAGATGTAATTAGTTAAAATGAGGTCATTCTGGAATAGAGTGGACCCCTAATTTAATGTAACTAATGCTCTGAAAAAAGGGGGAAATTGGACACATGCATGTAAAGGAAAAAACATGCACAAAGGGAAAAGCCACTGGAACTTGACAGCAGAAATGCAATAATTCTCCCTGGCAGCCCTCAGAAGAAACCAATGAATACTTTCATCCTGAACTTCTGGCCTCCAGTACTGTAGGTCAATATATTTCTGTTGTTTAAGCCACTCTATGGTTCCTTGTTATGGCAGTCTTAGGAAACTAATACAAACCCCAAAATCTCATAGTGTATTGTGACATGCTTTCCTGGAGATGCAGGGATTAGCAGAATGGAGAAATCAGGTTGATGTTTTGGACTGGCCATCAGAAGAGGCTAAGAAGGCACTTTCTTTTGTTAACTTACCATCTCCAAAGAGTTGCAGGATAGCAAGGTCCACCTGGCGTTTCCACCCAGAATCTTTTTGGATGGCAATGCCATACCCAGTGGAAGCAAAGACCTTCCCACTGCCAATGGTCACCAGCTTGCAGCCTTCGTCTCTGCCTGCCATGTAGTTGAGCACTGCTGCATCATAGATGAAGGCATCCAGTTTCCTGTGCAAGAAAGAAACAAAGAAACCCAATACAGTGGAGGAATTTTAGTACAGAACTACCTATGGGGACATTAATATGAAGCAGTAGGGTTCCAGAAAACTGTGGGGAGAATTGGTTCAAAGAAAGGCTCAAGTTGGAACTCAGCCAGAATCTACCCCAGGTTATTCTTTATGTGATTTCAAGTTGAAAGGAGGAGTTCTTTCCCTCCTACTGGGAATGATGAGAATGTAAGTTTGGCCTGAAGCCAACTCATAAGCTGGGTCTGAAAGGAAGAGGAAGTAAAAAGGAATCAATAAAAATAATAACAGAAATAATGAAAAGTAACCATCACAATGATAACAACAAATAGCATGGGTTAGATTTATATAACATTTTTCATTTTCCAGTTCATTACAGTCCAGAGTGGGGATAAGTGTAGGTGTATGTATTTCAATGGATGTGCAGTGCTATTTTTGTGGTCAGAAAGGTCTCAATATTCTGCTTTGCCACACAAGGAAAAAGGAATAGTTGGGGTGGTGGCAGCACAGGCTTGTGTTAAGAGCAAATGTGTGAAACTAACAAGAGATTGCAACATAGAGAACTCAGATCTCTCGAATTCCTAAGCATATATAAGAACCTCCTTTTACAGGGCGGAAAAAAGTAGGTTTGCAGTTGTTTGTATGGTAAATAATACAAGAATAAACTCTGTATTTTGTATACTCATAACTATAAACCTACTTTTACCTACCCCTTCATATTGTATTTTGCAAGAAGGGAATATGTAGGGAAGTGAGTAGACTAGGAGTAAGAGCGGGAAGGCATAAATCAATATTTGAAAGCAACATTCAAGCACATAAAAGGTGGAGGAAGAAATTCAGACATAACCATATGGATAATAGAGAGGTCTTCAAGAAAAGCATCCATTATCCTTTACTTATGTAAGTAAAGCTAGCTTTATTACCCTTCAGGAAAAAATAAGCCCTTTCTGGTGTGATAAGCCTTGCATCATATTTAAAAAGGCCCATGAGGACCCTATAGAAAGCTTTGATATGATTAATAACTGTGGTGTACCAAGGGCCAGACCAATCAACCCAGTCCTATCCCCAAGCTCAAATCCCATCTTCTAAAATCTGCTGTGACTTTATGGTGATAAGATAGAGTCATTTGAAGGTGGGGGTAAGTGAGTGGGAAGAGCTTAACCAAAGAACTTATATGCATATATGCATAACCCATGGACACAGACAATAGTGTGGTGAAGGCCTAGGGCAGGGGGCAGGTGAGGGTGGGCTAGAAGGGGTTAATGGGGGAAAAAGGATACATTTGTATTATTTTCAACAATAAAGATAAATTTTAAAAAAGAGAGAGTCATATTATAACATACCAAAATACTTAAATAACAGTATTTAGGTAACCATACATCTGGTGGCTCTTCCAGAACTGAAGCCACCAGAAGATCCAACTATTGCTATTTATCATACAATACAGGAAATTAGCTACAAACCCCAACATCTATAATGCTCAACTGTCTGTCTTATTCGACAGCTGTGGTTTCAGGAGGCCAAATGAGTAAAGAGATCCATGTGGCTGGGATTATGCAAGCCAACACATTTGCAGATCATGAGCTCCTTTTAATGAACAAATATTTCCTAGAGTATAGAGCTGGATCAAAGAATAACAACAACAAAAACAGAATGAGAGATCAGTCAACATATTCTTATTGTTTGTTGTCTAAAAATGTTTACCCTTTTTGTTTTATTTCTCCCTTGTCTATGAGATACTAGAACCATCATTTTCACCTCTTGTTCAACAGGTCTTTATATGATGTGTAACACATGAACCTTATCATTGACTCTTCGCTTCTACTTTTATATCTATTCAAATTCTTGTTTCATGGTTACACTGATGCAAATTGTAAAACATACACATAGAAGCAAAAATAGCATAGGAATCCTTGTGCACTGGCCTGAATTATACTGTCAAATTTAACTTGGAAATCCATGAAGAGCAAGTGAAGTATTCCCTGCTGTAACTTTGTGTGGCACCCCAACATAGTACATCTGATTCAATGTATGTTTAATAATGTGAGAAACATACCACAGACTCTGAGCTTGGAAGCAGTTCTTACCCTGTTTTCAGGGAGAGCAACGCATCATCCACATCCCTCTGGTTGAACTTTCCCATGTAGGCATGCATTTCTGCGTAGTTATTGCGAATATTCCTCTCTGTGCTGCCATTGGGCACCGTCCCGAAGCGAAAAGGGGGTGAGAAGTCATTAGGTCTCTGGAACTGGAGAGATAGAAAGGGAGAGAAAGAGAGAGAAAATGCTTCAGAAAGTGTGAAGAAATATTGTTAGTATTAGTGGATTTATAATGGAACAGACCCAACTATAGTTCACCAATTACACTAGCCCTCACCCAGGAGTCACCCAAAAGTGGACTTCAATTCAACTCAATTTGAGAATTATTTGCCTGACTAATCTATAACCCCTGTGTGCTCCTTTTATGCATACTGCACAATACCAATGGCAATGGAAACAAGCCGTGGCACACTAATCACCTTTATTTCTGAACATTGTGTAAAATCTGCTTCCAGGCCTCTTATTTGGGGGCTAAATATATTTTCCTTGCACTATTATGGCCATAGGACCTTGATGAGGCAAGCTGCATAGTATTCCTGAAAATAATTTGCTGGGTATCAAATACATTTTACTAAGGAATTTTCTCTTGACCTTCCCTGATGCATTTAAAGCTCATATTCATCCTACATAAGTTGCAGGATATATTTTAAAATCAAATACAGTTTTAATTAGGTATCCTCCCTTGCTTAAGAACTGAGAGTGGCTCACTAGTGCCTACCATAATAAAGTGAAATCTCTTGGATTTTCACTCCATGACATCAGTTTTATTTCTGGCTCTTGCCCTGCAATGACTGAGTCTGTGTGTTGCTCCCTAAACATATCATTTGTCCATTTGTATCTTTATAGTAGGTCCCCTAAGCATGAACTCACCTTTCTCTCTAGGTCAACTCATACTCTTCGTCTCAAAATATAACTCAAAGCAATTTCTCAGGAAACCTTGTATGAGTTCTTTCTTCCATTAAGCCTACCCCATAGCAAACCATCAGTCCTTGGTGTTCTTTGTTTAGAAGATCATTCTAATTCATACTACAAATTCTATTACTCTCTAAATGAGCTGGTTAAGTTATGAGAGATAGTTTCTGATGTAGTCACTAAGGATTTAAGCTCCATGACAGATACAGATATAGATTAATGACCAACTTTGCCACTTACTACTGTGTGACCTTGTGCAAGGAACATGAACTCTCTGAGTTTTTGAGATTATTGGGAGGATTAAATGATATAAAGTATAATAAATTCTTCATACAGCACCTTGCATCCAATAAGTGCTCAATAAATAGGCTCAATAAGTGTCCCTTTTATTACTAGTATTTTAATTCATAGTTATATTCTGTATTCTCTAGCAAACTTAATGCTCTTGGAGCTTCTCATTCTATTAATACAGCATGTCCCAAAAATGTATACACACTTTAACAGCTGAGAGTTCAATTTTGAAAATGAAATGTATTTTAATAAACATTGCCTTTATAATTATTCAAAGTGTGTGTATACATTTTTGGGGGCTATCTTATATAGCAATGAACAGATAGGATATGACAAGAGTAGCTCTGTTATGCTTTGGCATAGGAAATGATGTAGATATTTTTTAAAGTCTTCTTGGTTTCAATACTATGCCATGTACTTGGGAGATACATTTGAAAATCTAACCTGCCAATTAAGGAGTACACTGAACCTTTGGAGTAGCCTGGGCTTAGAGTCATTCTCTTAGGGCCATTCTCTTAGAGCCATTCTTTCTCCTTTCCTTAATTTGAGAAGCTAAAGAGCATCTCAGAATATGGGTTTTAAGGACCACAACAGGACACAGTACCAGGAACCATAAATGCCATCCTACTTTCTCAGAGTTGGCCATAGTTAAAAGTAGAATCATGCAGTGGTATTAGGCTATCTGTAATATATCAAATATCACTACTTTCTGACTTAAAAAGCTCTCGGTCTGACTTACCACAGTGCTTTCTGCCATTAAGAGTTTTTGTTTAATTATTTTGAAAAGGATTGTGATTTTTAAGTCAATGAAGTTACTACAAAAAAGTCAAAGAATTATTGGAGTTGGATGAGCCACTCAAGGTTAGCTAATTCAAACCTTTTATTTTACAATGAAGAAACTGAGGCCCAAAGAGAACAAGTAGTTTGCCAAATGTCACACTGTGGCAGTGGTAGCTAACATTATCAGGGATCAATTAATACTACAACTCATTGTCTTCAGCAGATAGCAAATTTAAAGAGAACAAGTATGTTCTTTATTGAAAGAGACAGATACTAAAATGCTATGCACATCACTCTCAATTATAACACTTTAGATATCTGAAAAAAGGTTTCCTCCAAGTCACAAGTAGAATAGATACCACTGCAGGCAGCAATGTAACCAAATAAACTCCCTTTAATCAGTAATTCTCCACTTTGCCAGGACATCAACAACCAATGCTCACTGTGACTAAGATACTTTAGGGTCCAAGGTATCTTCTAAAACATTAATTATGGTATACATTTTTATATTCTATTTTTTAAAATTGGCAATCCACAAAAGGTATATGGAACAATTTTGATTAGCCAAATGGAATCTGGAGTACCTAGAGTACCTCATTTCCTGGTGAAGCTGGATTATGGAAAGTTTCCAGATTACTCTTTAATAACTTTGAATTTTAAGTTATGTTTAGATTTCTAGATGCTGTTTTATAACCATATGCCTGAATAACTAAAAGCTAAAGAAATGATAAAGGACCTCAACAGACAAGAGAACTTTGAAAAAGAACAAAGCTGGAGGACTTTATCCGACTTCACGACTTATTTTAGTACATGACAGTGTGACATTAGAATAGAAATAGTAAAGAGATCACTATAAAAGAATAATCCAACACATGCCTACCAACAGACCAACACATGTATATTGCAAAGGTAATTCAGTGGAGATAGGACAATCTTCAACAAATGGTGTTGGAACAATTGGATACCCATATGCTAAAAACAGAACTTCATTTCATACTTCACAAGATATACAGAAATTAACTCAAAGTGGGCTGTATATCTAAATATAATTACTAAAATTATAACATTTTTAGGAGAAAAATCTTTGTAACCTTGAGTTAGACAACGATTTTTTAAATATAATACCATAGCACAATACACACACACACACACACACACACACACACACACACACCAAAGATAACCTGGTTTTCATCAAGTTAAGGATTTCTCTTTGAGGAACCCAGGATCATGAAAAGAAAAGCCAGTGACTGGGAGAAAATATTTGAAAATGAATTAAAGCAATTAAAACACTGAAGGAATTAAATAAGAACATAGCAAGGCTCTTAGAGTTAAAGCACCTTCCCTAAGAAAACAATCAGAGAAATCAGTCAGCCCTGGAAGAATGCAAAGGCAAAGTCCTGTGGAAGGCAGACAATTTGGAGGCAGATGACAGAGATTTGAATCCCAGCTCTGCTTCTGATCAGCTGTGTGTACAAGGGCAAGTTACTATATTCACGAAGCCCCATTTTCCTCTAAGTATTATTTTTCATGAATAATAAGGTAATGTATAGGAAACCACTTAATACAGTATCTGGCACATGGTGGAGTCTCAAAATTATTAACTGCTTTTACAAGGATGAAGTTCTAATCTTTAAAATTGTCTTATGGTAGGCAATGTTCCCAAAGATTGAAAACTCTTATTCTCTAATTTGCTCCTTAAACTAGGCCAGTCTGGGGACCAACAGGGAGGGAGTGCATCACCCCAGAATTAGCCAAAGCAGAAGCAGAACTGAGTTGGCCTTTTCCTTTGAAAATTCTTGTCCTAGCTTGGTGAGGTTTAAATAAAACAGGTTTTTAAAAATAATATTCCAAATACCTGGTGCTTCCAGTAAATGCCGTGTAATAAAACACCCTAAGCCATGAGGCATTATGTAGCACTTCTTTAACCTGAGAGGCAATCAATACTCTCTGGGGCTTGGGAAAGACAAAAATTTAGTACTGTCAAGACACAGGAGTCTTAAAATCTATTTCTTGACCCCAAGAAACAATTTTTTATAAAAATTTTAAAATCTAATACATCAAGGAGACCAGTATTGGGTTAAAAAGCCCAGTCTTATTTTAAAGTAGGGAATTTTATACAGTACTTCTTCTTTATTTTACTTTATTACATTTATTGGGGTGACATTGGTTAATAAGATTATATAAGTGGCCCTAGCTGGTTTGGCTCAGTGGATAGAGTGCTGGCCTGCGGACTGAAGAGTCCCGGGTTCGATTCCAGTCAAGGGCACATGCCTGGTTGCAGGCTCAATCCCCCATGAGGGGTATGCAGAAGGCAGCTGATTAATGATTCCCATCATTGATGTCTCAATCTCTCTCTCCCTTTCCCTTCCTCTCTGAAATAAATAAAAGTATATTTTTTAAAAGCTTATATAAGTGTATGTTTCTATGATTCATGATCTGAATATTGCATTGTGTGCCCACCACCCAAAGTCAAATCACCTCTGTCCCATATGTCTGGTCCCCTTCACCCTTTATTGCCTCCTCACCCCCTTCCCTCTGACTCACAGATATATGAAAAGATGCTCAACTTCACTAGCTATTAGGGAAATGCAAATGAAAACCACAATTGGATACTACCTCACACCTTTAGAATGGCTATGATAAACAAGACAAGTAATAACAATTGTTGGAGAGGTTGTGGAAAAAAGGAACCCTCATTCACTGCTGGTGGGAATGTAAACTGGCACAGCCAATATGGAAAAGTCTGGAGATCTACCTGAAAATTTTGAAAACATTTATTCACAAAAATATATGCACCCCTATACTCACAGCAGCATTATTCACAGTGGCCAAGACATGGAAACAACCCAAGTGTCCTTTGATGGAGAACTACATAAATATGTGGTACATATATACAATGGCATACTACTCAGCCATAAGAAAGGAAGAAATAGTGCCATTTGCAACAACATGAATCTTGAAAATACTATCATGCTAAGAGAAATAAGCCAGACAGAAAAAACTAGGAACCATATGATTTCACCCATATGTGGGATATAAAACTGAAGCTCATAGACAGTACTTCTTTCTTACTAGTCACCTGTGGTCAAAACAGGGCTTCCTTAAACTTGGAATTTTTTTCTAGAGTTGCCCAGATTAGGATTGTAAAACAAAACCACACACA